GGTGGGGGTGGGGGATAGATAGATAGATAGATAGATAGATAGATAGATAGATAGATGAAGGGATGTGGATGGGTGGGTGGGTGGATGAAGAGGTGGGTGGATGGATGGGGGGATGAAGGGGTGTGGGGGGATGGGTGGGGGATGGACGAAGGGCTCTGCCTGGGGACAGATGGGTGGCTGGATGGGGGGATGGATGGATGGACGAAGGGATGGATGGATGAGTGGGTGGGTGGACGAAGGGCTCTGCCTGGGGACAGATGGGTGGGTGAGTGGGTGAGTGGATGGATGGATGGATGAAAGTATGAATGAGTGGATGGTTGAAGGGATGGATGGATTGATGGACGGGTGGGTGGATTGATGGACAGGTGGGTGGGTGGAGGGATTGATGGGTGGATGGATGAAGGTATGAATGAGTGGATGGTTGAAGGGATGGATGGATTGATGGACGGGTGGGTGGATTGATGGACAGATGGGTGGATGGATGGATTGATGAAGGTATGAATGGGTGGATGAAGGTATGAACGGGTGGATGGTTGAAGGGATGGATGGATTGATGGACGGGTGGGTGGATTGATGGACAGATGGGTGGATGGATGGATTGATGAAGGTATGAATGGGTGGGTGCATGGATGAAGGTATGAACGGGTGGATGGTTGAAGGGATGGATCGATTGATGGACGGGTGGGTGGATTGATGGACAGGTGGGTGGGTGAAGGGATGGATGGATTGATGAAGGTATGAATGGGTGGATGGTTGAAGGGATGGATGGGTGGGTGGATGAAGGGCTCTGCCTGGGGACAGGTGGGTGGGTGGGTGGATGGGTGGAGGGATGGATGGAGGGATGAAGGGTTTGATGGATGAAGGTATGAATGGGTGGATGGTTGAAGGGATGGATGGATTGATGGACAGGTGGGTGGATTGATGGACAGATGGGTGGATGGATGAAGGGATGGATGGATTGATGAAGGTATGAATGGGTGGATGGTTGAAGGGATGGATGGGTGGGTGGATGAAGGGCTCTGCCTGGGGACAGGTGGGTGGGTGGGTGGGTGGGTGGATGGGTGGAGGGATGGATGGAGGGATGAAGGGATTGATGGATGAAGGTATGAATGGGTGGATGGATGAAGGGATGGATGGATTGATGGACGGGTGGGTGGATGGGAGGGTGGGTGGATGAAGGGATGGACGGGTGGGTGGATGGGTGGACAAAGGGTTCTGCCTGGGGACAGATGGGTGGGTGGAGGGATGGATGAAGGGATGAAGGCATTGATGGATGAAGGTATGAATGGGTGGATGGATGAAGGGATGGACGGGTGGGTGGATGGGTGGACGAAGGGCTCTGCCTGGGGACAGCATGGGTGGGTGGGTGGGTGGATGGTTGGATGAAGGGATGGCTGGATTGATGGATGAAGGTATGAATGGGTGGATGGTTGAAAGGATGGATGGATTGATGGACGGGTGGGTGGACGAAGGGGTCTGCCAGGGGATGGACGGGCGGGTGGGTAACTATACGGCGTCACATCCTGCTCTCCGTCCCGCCGCTGAGACCTGCTGCTCTGGCTCTGGGGTCACTCACCGTGCTGAGCTGGGGTGTGTCACCTGGAGCGACCACATCCGGGGCCGTGTGCGCGTTACATGTACCGCGTGCCAGGACATCAGCGAGCCAGTGGCAGGTCCTCTAATCCGGGGGGGGAGGGCACGGAGAAGGGCATCGGGGGGAAGAAACAGGGGGTGTAATACCCCCCACCTCTCTCTCACACACACACGTCGGGAGTCACACAACCGTCTACCAGACAGCAATAGGACCTGAGACTGTAAACCAGAAGCGAGTCCAGGGGGCAGACTCGGGACGGATGGAGGGGTGTGTGGGCAGAGCCAGAGGGCAACTGCCTGGGTGGGGACTTGGGGGGTGCAGGGCCCCGGGGGCTGGTTTGGTTGCTGGTGACACAAGGGGGATGTATCATCTCATAGGATGGGGGAATTCAAAAGGTTTAACCGGGGAGGGGGGGGCTGAAGATGCTCCTCACCTAGGGCACCATGCAGTCTAGGGCCAGCCCCGGGGGGGATGTGGGGGGGATGGATGGACAGACGGTTGGAGGGTGACGTATGGGGCTGGATGAATGGAGGTTTGGGTGGGGGATGGATGGATGGACCGCAGCATCTGGGCACAGGTGGATGAACAGATGGATGGGGGGTTGTGGGCTGGGGTGGGGGGTGGAGGGTGCGTGTGGGGCTGGACAGATGGACAGGGGGATGGAAGGGGAGCTGGGTGGATGGGGGCTGGGTGTGGGGCTGGTGGATGGATTGTGTGTGGATGGAAGGGGCTGGGCCGATGGGTGGATGGATGGGCGGATGGAGGGGGCTGGGTGGATGGGGGGCTGCGTGTGGGGCTGCGTGTATGGACAGACGGATGGGGTGGATGGGAGGTTGGTTTTGGGCCTGGGTGGATGGACGGGCGGATGGGGGGCTGCGTGTGGGGCTGGGTGGATGGACGGGCGGATGGAGGGGGTGGTGGGTGGATGGGGGACTGTGTGTGAGGCTGGGTGGATGGACGGGCGGATCAAGGGGGGTTTGGGTGGGTGAGGGGCTCTGGGTGGGGCTGGGTCCATGGACAGACAGATGGTGGGGGGGCTGGGCAGATGGGGGCTGTGTGTGGGGCTGGGTCCATGGACAGACAGATGGTGGGGGGATTGGGCAGATGGGGGGCTGCGTGTGGGGCTCGGTGGATGAACCGATTGGCCGTGCCGAACAGCACAGTCTGTGGGGTCAGCGCCCCATGGCCCTGGTACCAGGACCCCCCCCCCGTTCCCCAGCGCGGTCCGAGCCCCCCCTGCCCTGGCTCCGGGCTCACCCCGGCTCTGTCCTTGAGGCCCGGCCCGTGGCCAGCTGCCGGCTAATGAGCAGGTGCGGACAGAGCCGGGCGATAAGATCCGGGGCCGGGGCCGGGACACAGGGGGCCCATTCAACCCTGAAGGACGCGACCCACGGAGCGGAACAGTTTCCCTGGCCTCCATCCAGAGCCTCCCCTTCGATTTCACCCCGGGGGGTGTTCATCACCCCATAGTATAGTTGGTACCTTCCCAGGGGACCCCTCCAGCTATGCGCCTGGGCCCCCCCATCGCTTGCCCCCCCACTCTCTCATTTGGGGTGAGGACACCCCTGGGACCTGGGGGGGGGGGTCACCAGAGAACATGGAGATCCTTCTGCTCAGAGGGCGGGGCCTTGAGGTGTCTGGGCGTGGCCTAGGGAAGGGGTGTGGCCTTGTCAGATAGGAGGTGTGGCCGGAGAAAAGGTGAAATTGGGGCAAAGGTTCATCATTGAGGTCATGGAGGGAGTGAGCTCTGACACCCCCACTCCCCTCCCAGAGCCGGGGAGAGAACCCAGGAGTCCTGGCTCTCAGCCATTGTGTATGGAAAGGGATGGGAGCTAAGGTGGTATGGAAGTGGGGGGCCTGGGGCAGAGGGAATCTATGGGGTGTTAGCCCCCCCCACGGGACAAAGCCGGGCAAACCCAGCTGAAGAATCCAGGAACTGCTCAGCAGTGCACCCCCTTCCTGGTCCCAAACTGGTTGAACTGGTCCAGCCTGCTGTGGTGTGGCCACGGGCCCAGCTGAGCCCTGGGGCGAACGCACCCTCATCTTCCCCCCCAGCCCCCCAGCCCTTCCCACGCACCACAGCTGAGTATAACCAGAGACAGTGTCCCTTCCTAGAGTCGGGGAGTGAACCCAGGAGTCCTGGCTCCCAGCTAGGGTGACCAGACAGCAAGTGTGAAAAATCGGGACGGGGGTGGGGGATAATAGGAGCCTTTATAAGAAAAAGACCCAAAAATCGGGACTGTCCCTATAAAATCAGGACATCTGGTCACCCTACTCCCAGCCCCCCCTGTAACCCACCAGCCCCTACTCCCCTCCCAGAGCTGGGGAGAGAACCCAGGAGTCCTGGCTCCCAGCGCCCCCTGTTCTAACCACTAGCTCCCACTCCCCCCCAGGGGTCGGGAGAGAACCCAGGAGTCCTGGCTCCCAGCGCCCCCTGTTCTAACCACTAGCTCCCACTCCCCCCCAGGGGTCGGGAGAGAACCCAGGAGTCCTGGCTCCCAGCGCCCCC